ACAATGGGTTAGTAATAAGAGAAAGGACGAGTATGAGACGCGCGCCCACCCTCCGCGACGGCTAACGAGAAACTGAGGAAGCTAACGCCGTTATGTATTGGGCGTACGCAGGTTTGTTCGTGTTGAATTGTTTTTGCCGACTTGAACGACCTTCCTCCTTGAACGACGTAAACACCGGATGGTACGGCCAGGTACGACATGGTACACGGCGTACACGGCTAGGTCAATAAACTGTGTGACGCAACCTCACTAGCGCGTTGGACCAACGGAGAGAACCGATACCGTGGCTGGCTCTACCGCTCTCGCTCTCTCCCGTTCGCCCGTTCCGACCATCTTCGGCATCGCTCTTCTTGAACGTTTCTAATTTCATAACCCTAAACTGGGTATCTGAAAGTATTTAATTGAATTTGTGTAGAAGATTTTACTACTTCCTAAAATACTCCGTGTGATATTTGATAGCCTAAAAAACAGTGTGCCGATACAGGGTTTCGATTTATTTACGAAACTAATCTGACCAGTTGCTGCATTCTTTGACACTAATTTTCAAGAAAATAAAACTTCTGTATTTCACTTAATTGAGAGACACGTAGCTGAATATTAACATACGTTCATTATTTAATTACTCGCAATAAATAACATTTTTGTAAGTAAATAACGCGTAAGTAAATTCATATGTAAAATTTTACCAATTGCCAGAAAGTAATTGTTCAAATTTTCAGCTTGTCAATTTGTATGATTAACCACCTTAAAAATATTTAACATCCTTATGCTTAATTCTGACTTTATTATAAGTTTATATGCTTACATAACTACTTATGTTCAATATGAATTAAACATGATACGAAATGTAGTTGATTATAATTGAAAATATCTAAAAACATTGAAACATTTTATGAAAACAATATTATATACACCACATTTTCTGTGATGAAATATGAGAGTTAAACGCAACACCGTATGTATTCCATCCTGGCCGTGCTGGGCGACGAACTAGGGTACCTAGCGTACGTGCGTAAGAAATAACGTATGAGCGAGGGATGTTACCTACATATAATAAAAGGAACTCCATTTAACAAACGGCTATTGTAGTACAGTCTACAATATCGACTGAATATGTTTGTTGATAAATCAGCTCCCTTATTTCACACATTCGATCACCAGCGAAAGACATTCTCTTCATCATTGTAGCAACTGATAGCGAAGTACCAGTTGTTTCAAACAGTCCCTTTCAGAGGGCGGTAGCGATCTGTCTGATCGCTCCTGCCCTCTTCTGACAAAATCATTAACTGACCCTAGAGCTTACAATAAGAGCGGTGCAATACGATTCTAACGTGTCAGGGAATACTTAAACATAATTCATTATATTTCCATCTTCTACCTTCTTCACTGATGGAAATTTGTAATTAATGCATTTAATATTTCAAATACGAATTGACTACATACAAATATAATTCAAACACTGCCGTCGCTTATAAATTCTTTTCTACGCATAAAAGTCATCTATGCCATAAGTTCTTCCAATTTATGCAGTCCTTGTGCATTAGAATCCTAGAAAATCGGGGTGTATCTCCTAGGAGACACTCTTGGACATTTGCCGATACCGTTTATCCGAGAAAACGTAAAATATAAAATCGTCCTCGACTCCGAGCTTCGTGTACCGTGTTTAAAGAGATGCAGGATATCTGTTCGCCGAGCCACGCCCGGTCGCCAATCACAGCCGGTACCAACGGTTCGACGTGCATCCTTTGTGTCCTCCGGACCCTTTTAGTCCCTCTTTCTGGCTCTCGGGAGCCCAGGGACTCGGTGGCCATCTCTGGACGTCCATTAAATACAGAAATGAGCCTTCCAAGAGCGTCTCGAACGGGTCGGACCAGATCCTCCGGTCGGGCCCGGCCATGGTAGAAGAGGGTCGACCGAGAGGAAACGGGAGTGAAGGAGAAAGAGAAAAAGAGAGAAAGAGAGGCCGGGTCAGACCGGGCCACGTTTAGCTGAGGTCGCCCCGGGCCCCCAGACCATTAACAAGGAGCGGAGCAATTTATGGACCGGCTCGCT